AAAATTCCCAAGTGCTTATAGGAAGCTACTGAGATACATTTCCGCCTACCACTTCTACAGTGGTGGGACAACAGTTCTAGGCAACAATAATGTGCAGTTTGACCAGAAAGTGATCAATCTGATCATGGCCAAAAAGTAAAGGTAATGTCCCCCATTTTGAGATCCACACACCATTTGCTCTGAGTTAAACTGCTGATCACCAATATATGAGTAGGGATTGGCATAATATGGAGTTGACATGGAAACCATACATTCTTAACCAGCACTGGATCTCCTTGCTAAAGCATTGGTGCAGAAGTGAGATTCTACAGGTTTGCACCTATTCGCTAGAACCAGTTGTTAACATTCTAAGTAGTTCGGAGAACCAGTTGTTAGAAGAAATTACTGGCCTAATTCTGTAAGGAAGGCAGGAAGGAAACGTTCTGGTGTTGCTTACAGAAACTGCCTCTCCGTTAACCCTTATTACATTCTTCGCAGGGCTAGACTTCCTGTCTCAGGAACGTCTCTGGAGTTTTTTTTCCTCCTTTGCTGGTACTTTGCTTGTGTGGAGTAACCATTCAAAGTTACAATGGCACTGAAAAAAGTGACTTATGACCATTTTTCACAGTTATGACTGTTGCAGCATCCCCACAGTCATGAGAGGCCAGGCAAGGAGATGCGCGCCTCGATGTGAGTGATGTTGAGTTGGCCATGCCCAGCCAATAACATGCCCACCAAGCCACACCCACCAACTAAACCATGCCCACAGAACTGGTTGTTAAAAAAATTGAATCCCACCCCTGCATTGGTGTTGAAATGCTTAAGCATTTATAGCATAAAGTAATGAAATCTACTGCAAGTTTTCTCTCAAAAAGTCTCACAACTGGTACGACTGCTGCTATATTTAACTTCTAGGTATAAAAAAACTTCATCTGAGCTTCTTCACCAGATGTCCCTAAAGAGAGAGTGCTGGTGTCTGTCAAAGAAAGGGCTTTGTTTGGGGAAATGCAACCTCCTCCAAAAAGCTCATTTGATGCTAACGTTATGAACTTTGGGGCAATAAATCAAGTCTTTGTCTTTATTTCTCAGGTATTTTGGAAACCATTTTGGTGTTAGAAGTTAACTGTTTTCATGATTCTTTACTATGATTTTATACTTTTTAGCGGTTTCAATAGCTCGGTTGTACTGTTCCCTAAGAATGTTTTAATTCTGTTTTCTGATTTTTAAAAATATGTTAGTATTGCTTTTATATTTACTTTTTCATAACATGGATAGTACAAATACTGGCCTACAGGATGTAAGATTTCTTCCTAATCAGTTCTCAGAATGAGTGTCAGGGTGCCTTTTTAGGGGATAGCAGCTTGGGAACAAACGAACCTAACTTCTTGTTGTTCTATCACTACTCCCTCTGAAGTTGGTATGACCGAAGGGCATAACCTTTTTTTCCAACAACACCAGAGGATCAAACAACTCTAGAAGTAGCATAAGCTTTCAAATTTGATCCTTTACAATGCCAAGACATTGTCTCACAGATAAACAGAGTTGGAGCCTTGGAGATGTTGCTTTCCAATCATGGTCACTGGTTTTATTTTTAGCTCCAGCAACGTGCCAAAGATAGCTGTGTCAGTTCTCCATATTTAGTAACCGTGACCACAGCACACATTGGAGCAAGCTCAGGGTCGTGCCTCTGGTGTCTTTCCATATGTTAGGTAAGTTGCCCATCTATTAGCGAGTTCTAGTAATTAAAAAATAAATGTTCTCTTATTTATATTTTCTGAGAGAAGCAAAATCCTCTCTGGTAGTCTAATAGATTTCTTAAATCATTTGTGAAAGACTAGCATGGCTTTAATAGTTTTATTGCTTTAGCAGTTTTCAGAAAGCACAATAAGTAGATTAAATGTGAAAGGCAAAGGGATATTATTGAAGTGAACTGTGATTCAGTTTAGATTGGTTGACTTTTACAAATAGAAGTATTAAAGTTAGGCTAATATAAAAAGCAGATTACAGAATTATGCAACCAAGAATGAAGCGCAGTTCCAGAGAAACATTCCTGGGAATATCTGTCACAACTTGGACTCACACCATGCTGTTGGAGCCAACATTCTAGCTCAGGAAATGAACGCTGATTTGGAGTCTTTGGACTTGAATCCCTTCTCCGCCATGAAGATTATTGTGTGATTTGGTTAACCATCTATTTTTGTTCTATATGGTAGGAATAGCCCCAAACAGCCCAGTGAGCAGATGTGCATTTAGTAGCACTATGCATTGTGTTATTTCAGAGGGAGGGATGATGAAAATAATAAGACTAAGTGATACAGTAAGGTTTTTTTAAAGGGCTGGAATTCATAGAGATAGGGGAGATGTGTTTTAGAAGTAGCTAGTGTCAGAAAAAATGTTTTTGGCCAGCACTGATTGGGGAGAACCTGTGTCTTCTGTGCTGGATAAACTTTTAAGCAGATGGTGCTGGTCACTATCAACTCTTGAGCTTAACTATTCAGGCTGCAATCCATTTGTGTTTTTCACTTTGTTAAGGACAATGAAAATACAAAGGAGAACAGAAAATGGAATAGAGGGGAGAGTAGAGGAGGAAACAGCCCTGGGTCAGAGTTCTCCAGCTATTAATTTGCTATTGACAGGGCAACCGGACTTCCTGAGTCAAGGTCATTTCCATGCCCTGGACAAAGTTGGTTACTGATTAAAGATACAATAGAGTTGATGTTAGCTCCGCACTGGCGATTTAAACCACAGCTTGAGATAGCCAGCAAGCATTAAAAAAATTCCATTATGAAGCTAAATCCCCTTCCTGTTAGGCTGAGCTTCTTGAAAAAGCCTGCTTTTAGCAAAGTATCACCATTTCCTCTTTTTTCTTCTGTATTTTTTGGGGATAAGGCACTTTATTTGTCTTGTCTCCAGAGTGTGTGGGTGTTTTCGAAAATGTATTTGTCAGATTAAATGTGAAAACAAAGGTCATGCAGTAGTTTTACCAAAACCGGGTCTTAACTGTCACATAACAGTGAACAAGATTTTACAAAAACACTTATTCAGGATGGAATTTAAGGGCCATCCACAAGCAAAACCTAACAAATATGGGAGGGTGAGTTAAATATGATGAGATGATTTGTCATCTCATACAAAACAATAGGGCAGATCTGTGGCTTGCATAGTTGTGGCTAGGGGTGGGATTCTACCGATTCAGACCGGTTCTATAGAACCGGTTGTTATGATTTCACACAGTTTGGAGAACTGGCAAATCATTCCCCTGGCTGGCACCCTCCCTCTCCGCCCTCCCCTCCCCACCATGCCCAGTCAGTCCTTATCATGTATGCGCAACATCGCGCACATGCTTGACATCACTGACTGGGTTCTTCTCTGCCCGGTCACTCTTCAAGGTATTTTTCCCACTCCCAGCCATCAGTTGTTCCTATAATCAGCTGTGCCAGGATTTCCCTCGTCATCTTACTGATTCCCCTGGGTGTATTCCCTGAGTCCCAAAAAGCCAAAAAATTTGGGGGGGGGGCGCACACTCTGTGCTCCATTTTTTTGACTTCCTGGGCCTCAGGGAAACTTCCTGGGAGCCAAAATACCCCTCCAGGAGCTTCCCTGAGGCCCAGAAGGCCCCAAAATGAAGGGTGGGGGATGCTGCGTGCCCCTTCCAGGCTCCATTTTTTTCTTCCTGAGCCCCAGGGGAGACTTTTGGGAACAAAAATGTCCCCTGGAGGCTTCTCTAAGGCCCAGAAGGCCCAAAAAACAGGGGGGGCTGCTGCAAAAAAAAGCCATGCCCACCCAGTCACATGGCCATGCCCATCTAGCCACACCCACAGAACCGGTTGTTTAAAACTTTGAATCCCACCCCTGGTTGTGGCACTATCTTGAATTTTGACCCATCCCTCTTCCCTCCTGCAACACCCCTGAGCTAAAATTTTAAATCAAGTTTAACAAGGAAATCCTTCCTTCTTCCCTTCCCTTCCCTTCCTTTTCTCCAGACATTAATGTACTTGGCCAAAAGCTTTGCTGAATCAACCTTATTTGGAATAGTTAAGAAAAAATAATTTAGAGTATTTACCTACTAGCAACTCCATAAACACTTGCCTCCTTTCTGGTCTTGTAAAGGATTCCAAGAAGATTAATTTAAGGAGGTACTGGAAATTGTTATATGCATATCCACAAGTACCTGAATCATATTTCTCCCTTCAAATTGAAGCCACTGCACAACTTCAGCAGTTAGTGCCCAGGAAACCTCCAAATATCCAGGTTTAAAATGGACTGGGCAATTAAAAAAATAAAAAATAGGTAATGGCAAACCATTTCTAAACTTTTGCACAAAAAAAACCCCAGTGTAGACTTTACACATAGCAACTCTATGTAGTAAGTCTTCATTCAAGTGATACTTTGCTTTAAGTATTTTCCCCATTTAAGTGTCTTCTGAGTTTCAACTTGTCATTCCCAGTCATTCCATAACTACATTATCTAGAGAAGTTCCTAGTTTTTCTTTTCAACTAGGCATAGGAGAAGTCACAGCATTTGTTTTCCAAATCAAACTGTTTTTTTGCTTTTTGCCAATTATGGGACTCTTTTTGCTATGCTACTCTTTTTCTTTTCATTGCAGAATGCTTTGTTCTGTTTAATCGTATCAAAGATTGCTGAGGCATAATCAATGTTCACGATTTGTAGCTCCATTTCTGAGTGAAGTGAGATTTGAGCAGTGCGATAAAAACCTTGCTCTGAGAAGGAGGTTTTAGACAAATTGATAGGAAGTGGAACAAAACAGTGTAAGCAATTTTGATTCTACATCATGTTTCATTTCAACTTCACAGCAAATTATTTGTGGCAAATGTCAAATTGTTATCTGTCACTGTAAATTTTATTTTTTAAATGGCACCAATGAAATGGGACACATCACCATTTTTTCCTATTTCTCCTGCTGTCAAGTGACCATTTCAGAATGAGATTTCAGAACAACGGATCAATATCTCTGATACTAGTGAGACCAATCCCTGAATACTTTTCTTATTTCTCATCAGTATTGCACTTGGAAGGATCACTTCTTGTGTTTGAAGACATCTTCAAACTGGTGGCGTTCTACTGTGTCAGTAGGTAAGTTGGTTAGACATTTTCCACTCATGGTGCCATGTGACCTTGCAAATATGCTTGTGAGAATGACAAAACAGCCTACAAAAAAAAGTCTTCAAGAGGCTGTTTGAGGTGGAATGAACAGCATGCTCCCTCAACCCACAAAAGTGGGAAGAGTAATAGAAAAACCTGCCTGTCTACCTGCATGGAATTCCTTGTTCCTGAGGCTGCCAACAAAATGCTTAAGTAAAAGGAATCCTATTTTCAAAGTATAAAGATGTCTGTCTGTCTGTCTACCTATCATCTATCTATCTACTAAAATCTTTCTTGTTATGACTTTCAACTGGGTAAAACAGTGCTTTATATGGCAACAACTTTTGAAGCAAAATACTTCCAATTGGCTAACTTACAGAAAATCCAGGGCCATGACTCCCAAGGAAGTCACACTTGTGGAATTTGTATCTGTTTCAGTGCTACTAGCTGCTGCTATGGTTACACGATCTTCATTTTCAATATTCTATTATAGTTTCCCAGCCAGTCTCGCAATCCCTCACTGAGCCATCCAGCAGCAACTTACCTTCCTGCTAGAAAGGAGAAGGAGGGAAGGAGGGAGGGAAGGAAAGAAGGGTTTCCAGTGTTCCTTGCCAGAAGCTCAACAGGGAAGCCAACCAAGGAGTCAGAATTCACTCTCATTCCCACTGCTTATTCCAATATTTGAGGGGCTGCTGCAAAGAAGGGGGGCTCAACATATTCTCCAAAGCACCTGAAGATAGGACAAGAAGCAATGGATGGAAACCAATCAAGGAGAGAGCAAACCTAGAACCAAGGGGAAATTTCCTGACACTGAGAACAATTAATCAGTGGCTTGCCTTCAGAAGCTATGGGGGCAGAAGTGGCATTCAGCAGGTTCTGATCAGTTCTGGAAAACCAGTAGCGGAAATTTTGAGTAATTCGGAGAACCGACAAATTCCACCTCTGACTGGCCCCGCCCCCCTCTATTCTCTTCCTCCCGAGTCCCAGCTGATCGGCTGGATCTTCTTTTGTTGCTCTGTACGGAGCTGGAAAGCAGGTTAGTGGGGTGGGGAAGGAATGGGATTTTGCAGTACCCTTCCCCTGCCATGCCACCAAGCCACAACTACCAAGCCACGCCATGCCCACCAAGCCACTCCCACAGAACAGGTAGTAAAAAAATTTGAATCCCACCACTTTGTGGGTGCTTCATCACTGGAGGTTTTTAAGAAAAGATTGGACAACCATTTGTCCAGGATGGTATGGTGTCTATGTGCAGGGGGTTGGATTAGAAGACCTCTAAAGTCCTTTCCAACTCTTTGTTATTTTGTTCTGCTTTTTTGGGGGGCTTTCCTTTGATAATTCTTTTTCTCTGTTTAGATAAGGAAGTATCTCTGAAACAATGGGTCAATGGGACATGAATTGTCTAGTAGTCTAAAACATCACAGCAGGTATAATTTCTACAGGAAAACAGAATAAGAAAATTCAACTTGTAGAATGTTATCTCAAGCTATGGATGGAGCAGTGTAGGGAATTAGTAATGTTTTCTTGGTTAACTTAATTTTTAAAAAAGCCTAACCAAACAAATCAGACAAATTTGGGACGACATCTTTTTATTCATAAGAATTATTTTATTTGAAGGAGCACTCAGAATGGGCACCCTCTATCTGCAATCAATAATGTGAATCCAGCCCATTATATTCCATCTGCTCAGAGCAATTCTGCATCTTTCTTTATAAAAAAAAGTCCTTTTGTACCTTCTTTGATATTCCCCATCACCTGCTTTGCATTATAATTACATACATCTTGAATACATGGCGGGCTACAAAGAACCAGAAGGGAAAAAGAGTTTGGCACTATCCAAAGTTACCTTATGCTTTTGGACAATCTTGTTATGTAACTATTATGTCTCAAGTCTTTTTTCACTCAACATTATTAGGGAAACATAAGCAAGAGATATTTTAAGGGGCCAAAGCCAAACCTATTATTGTGTGAGCGAAAGAAACAAGATGGTCACCTCAAGCAAAAGATTCTGAGAGGCAGCATTAAAGTAGTAGGAGAAAAGAGCTACCTTCTTCAAATGTTCTGGTGATGTTTTGGCAATTCACATGTTACTGAAGAACTAATTATTTGAACACCGAGTTCACTTTTGTAAATCGAATTGGAGGGAGCATGAACAAGTTCCTCATAATACTTTAGTATATTTAGATGGAAAACTCATTTGATTTGTTCATGGAGATAATTCAAATAAAACAGAATAACAGAGTTGGAAGGGACCTTGGAGGTCTTCTAGTTCAACCCTCTCCTCAGGCAGGAAACCCTATATCATTTTAGACGAATGTTTGTCCAATCTCTTCTTAAAAACCTCCGGTGTTGGAGCATTCACAACTTCTGGAGGCAAGTAGTCCCACTGATTAATTGTTGTAACTATCAGGAAATTTCTCCTTAGTTCTCTCCTTGATTGGTTTCCATCCATTGCTTCTTGTCCTGCCTTCAGGTGCTTTGGGAAATATGTTGACTTCCTCTTGTGGGAGCCCCTTAGATATTGGAACACTGCTGTCATATCACCCCTAATCCTTCTTTTCATTAAGCATGATTAAACATTAATATGACTGTCACTGACCCTGGTCCTAAACACTGTCCATTTTTGTATAGCAGAAAAGGATCTCTTATTTCAGGAACCCCAAAATGATTGTTACCTAACAATTTTATTTTATATATCCATCAGTAGGAGGGAGACCCCATATTTTTTTTTATATATTTTTTTAAATAAGTAAAATGTTGCATATAATTAAGTGACTGCTGGCTGTAAGTAATCCAATTATCCTAAATAGTCCTGTGAAAGCTTGTGGTAAGTAAGAGTACCTTCGATGGGATCACTTGCTCAAGAACATTTAATGTGGAAGACTTAGACTAATGTAAAACAAGTATCAGCAAAATGGAATGGGTGGGCAGATAGCAGTGGTGAGCTCATCTCTTAACCTTTTTTAGGATTTCCAAGGCAAGCAGTTTGTTTAACCCTTGTTTAGTCGTTTGACAAAACAACTTCCTTTAATATAGAGAAGCTCTAGCCAAGCTCTATTGGCATATATTAAATGAAACTTGCTGTTCCAAGCTGATTTTTTTAAAAGAATGACCTCAGTCTGCGAATAAGAACAAAGAATCTTCATCAATGATTTCAGGATATTTTGCTGCATGGCCCTTTATAATAGCTAATCTTGTATCCCTAATCTCCTGAAAGAACATGTATACATAGGCATTAGTAGGTTGGAACACAGAGAAGAAGTCCAGAATTTCACACAATTTGGAAATATGATAGGTCCCAAGAAGCATCTTATAAATGTGTATGTTGTACTACCATTCATCCGGTGGCTAAGACCTCTATGGCTGCATCTTGTGACATTTTAAGGAGATAACTTTCTGCCAAATAAGCTGGACACCCTCTCTGTGGATATAGATAGGTGATCAATAATAGCACCAGTCAGTTAATCAATTTATTTATTGTTTTAAAACAGCATCAGTCAGTCTGTACTCTTTAGCTATACTGAATGAGAACTTTGGCAATTGCAGCCCTATTACACCTGGATTGCAGTTGACCTGATTTAATTACAGTCAGTGATGTCTTATGAAGAGTGTGTCCTTCAGAAGTCTTCCTCATTAATGCCTTTATAGTGTTACCCAATCATCCAGAGCCTGTCCTCATTGCTATGATATCCGCACAATAGTGAGTGGATAACTAGAAGACATTATGACCATTTTATCATTCCTGATTTATGTTCTTTCAGTATCACCAACCATTCTTGTATATTATATTATATATTATATTATATTATATTATATTATATTATATTATATTATTATATTATATTATATTATATTATATTATATTATATTATATTATATTATATTATACCTTCTTCATGTTTGATTGGCCCAGCAGTTGTAGGATGATGCTATAAACTGTTATAAATCCCCACTTGGCAATTATCCCAAGTGGGGATCTTGAATAAGGACCGTTCCAAATAAGGATCTTGAATAAGGACCATTCCGCTCTGCTAATAATGGCAGAAATATACCTTGGCAACATCTGTTTTTCTGCTCAGTTTCTATTATGTTGCCTTCAATTCATTGACAGCTTGAGAAAGGTATGAGAAAGGTTTAAATTGTTCTCAATTCTGCCTGTGTTAAAGTTATGTTTTCCTATTATTCTGATTATGTCTAAGGACAGCCTCAGGGTATACAAATGTACAAACTTTGCCATGCATTGCCTTGAAGTGAATCAAAGACTGGAAGTGATTGAGAAGAAGGGTAATAATGACAACAATGGAACTAGCCATTTTTATTCCATCTCAAGGCTGCAACAGAGTGGTATAGAAAGACTCTGAGATGGGGTGAGCAACTATGGCATCTTGACGACTTCAACTCCCTGAATTCCCAAGCTAGCCATTTTGGCTCAGGAATTCTAGGAATTGAAGTCTGCAGATTGTAAAGATGCCATAGTTGGCCATCCCTAAGTGCTATGTTTATGACAAAAAAAGTAATTAATAAAAAAATTTGCGAGACCACCCATGGTCTTATTTCTATGTTCATATACATACAGCTGCCACACTCTTTCTTTTTTGCTTTAAACAATACTATGTGGTTCATAGAAAAGAAATAAGAAATAGTAATGCAGAGAGAATTTAAGGGCAGTAGGAAAGACAAAGATAAGGAAAATCCACTACATCTCTTCACACTCTTCTTGTTCTGGCAAAATATGCTTGTTCCCACTATTTTCCACAAATAAATTTGCTTTCTTTTCTTCTTTCTGTTTTGATCATGGTTTTATCACAGGTCCCCTTCCTATTGATCCTTTTAGTATTCCTTCATTTATGCAGGTTATGATTTGTTCCTCATGGATAGTGTCTGTATAACCAAGTAACTGTATGACAGTTAGAACAGTTAATCACTGGAAGGACTTGACTCCAGACGTTCTGGGTACTCCATCACTGGAAATTTTTAGGAAGAGATTGGACAACCATTTGTTAAGAATTCTGCTTGAGCAGGGGGTTGGACTAGTTTAACTCTGTTATTCTGTTATTCAAATCACTGTGCTTTTTTTGTACCGTCTCTCAATTTTGTTTTCCATCCACTTTGATTTAACACTCAGTCACTTGTGATCCAATCCCTATAGCCACCTACACTTCATTATTCCTATTGCACTCAGCTAATTTTTATATTTCCCCCAACATACTGAACTCTCACTTCCTTATAACAAAAGGAAATGAGCAGAAACATGCCCTTTACATCGTTTTGCACTTCTTTTGACAAAAGTTATTACAAAAGGCATCTTCTGAATACATATCCTCATCCTCTTAAATTATTGTGCATAAGCACTTCTTGCACATTTAATACATTGAACATAAAAGGCAACTTAGCACATTCTTTTTTGACTCCCTCCTGAATGTTACTCACTGAAACAATTCCCTAAGCATTCCACTGATTTTCCTGCAGGTTTTATTTCCATCATGACTTTACCAAATTTAACAACCAACCAACAACACCATATTCATGCAAAACATTCCCCCCCAAAATTCAAGTCTGTTCACTGCATCATATGTATCCTCTAAATCAACAGAAGTACAGCACATTTTCTTTCCCAAATTCATACATTTCTAAATCACTGCTAAAGAACCAAAATCTGGTCTGCATATCCATTAAAATTGCAGTATACTTCCAAAGTTTGGCAATTGTCTCTTCATCTGTCTTTTATACCCTTTCACTCAGAAACCTGCAAAACACCTTGATAAACACATGTAAGAAACTAATCCCCACCTAGTTCTTACATTCAATTTTGTTGCCTTCCCTTTGAACAGAATAGCAAAATTTGTTTTCTTCCAGTCATCAGACTCGTGCATGTTAAACAGGTCAAGCAGCCACTCCATCAGCAAAGGACACTCATATGTTCACATTTCTCTGGGTACATTTTCTGTGTCTGAAGCTTATTCTTTTTCAACACTCCAACTTTCTTTTCATCATTTCTTTGTCCTTACTACCACTAATAACATTTCTCTCAATTCTGGTCTAACGATAACATTTTAATAACAGAGAACATTTGTAGCTCAGGATTACAAATGAGAGAGGCCTTGGTGCTCTCTGAGCATGCTTGTTTTCTTGCAGATGTTTCATTACCCAAACTAGTTAGCATCATCAATGCTGATAATATATTGTTATCATTCATAGAAATCTCTAAAAAAAAAACACAAGCAAATTAAAGCCTGGTTCTATGTCAAGGATGCCTCCGCTATTCCGTTCTCACTAGGACCCCATATCTAGAGACCACCTCGCAAATTAATGTATTACTGCTCACAACTCAACAACCCAGTAATGTTTAGAATCAGGCAGCATCAAACTGAATAAACAAGAAACCAGTAACTCAGAGATACGGGTAATTTTACTGATACACGCAGCAAACATTGTGTTGCTTTCTCATACTCTGTCTCTCTCTTGCTTTCCTTCTTTTTTTATTCTCTAGAGATCTGCTTCCGTATACATTAAGATTGCCACAAGCAATTTTGGAAGCTAATAGTGCCACGGAATTAGAAACCATCTCTGATTTGGGGATAGGTAAGTTGTGTTGAAAACGATATACGATATACTTACAAATACACACCTCTTATTTTGTTAGTTTGATTTTGTTATATGATGCTACGGATTTCTGCAAGAAGAATACATTCCAGACTGCTGTGGTCTGCTCCTTCTTCCCACTGGAACTGTTTATAGAAATGTGTGAAAGGCTGTTGAGTACTATCTTCCATTTGAAGAGCCTTGGTGGCGCAGTAGTTAGAATGTAGTACTGCAGGCTAGTTCTGCTGATTGACGGCTGCCAGCAGTTTGACAGTTTGGTCCTGACCTGCTCAAGGATGACTCAGCCTTCCATCCTTCCAAGGTTGGTAAAATGAGGACCCAGATTGTTGGGGGCAATATGCTGATTCTGTAAAGTACTTAGAGAGAGCTGTAAAGCACTGTGATGTGATATATAAGTCTAAGTGCTATTGCAATTCAAGGGATCCTCTTCTTTGACTCATCATCCAATTCAGCTCTGATTTAAAGAACCATTAAAGGGATAGCAGGAACCTTGAATGTTTCAGTCAACTGTAAGGAATCAGACAGGAAGTGGAAAAAGAAAATCAGAAGAATTTATTTCTGCTGTTCTTCTCAGCGGTGTTACTATATGTCATTACAAATCTGAGTTCTATTTTGTTTTGTTTTCTGATAATGTTTAAGGAATATTTTGGATTGGTGAGGGTGAAGGTTTGTTCTCTGAGCTTGTGGGTTGGTTTACTTTTTAGCATCGTGTTTCCCAACCTTGGCAACTTTAAAATGGCTGGGCTCAACTCCCAGAATTTTTTAGATGGAATGCTGGCTAAGGAATTCTGGGAGCTGAAGTCCACACATTTTAAAAGAGCCAACATTGAGAAAACACAGCATTAGTACAACATTCAGCTTTTTTCTTTGCTTATGGCTCGTGTAAAGAAATTCTAAAATAGTAGACATTAGTCATTTTTTTTGCTTCATTTGTTCATTTTTTATTGGTGGTTAAATGGCAGAATCGAAAGGCATTGGAAATCTGTACCAACTTCCCCCTCCCACCCACATTTATGGGAAGACATGAATCTGGAAAAAAATGCTTACAACATTGCTAGTTACATGAAAGAAACAACAGAGGTTTCTTTTTACAATTATATACTGTACATTAGGAGAAGCTGTATTTAAATGTTTCTTATGTGAGGGAACAAAACTAATTTTAGACATTTCTTTTTTTAAAAAAATCATTAAAACAAATGAAGCAGAATACTTTTTGTACAGGAAGAATAACATGGGTTGGGTTGGGTTTATCCTGATCCACACTATTCAATGCACCCATCCCTCAATAAGATGCCTTGAACATTTGATGGGATTGTAATGTTCTCATGCCATGCTGTCTAGAAGTACTAGAAGCTATTGTCCCCAAATTATGGAGAGAAAAGTCTAATTTGGTGTTTTCATATATTGAATTGGGCTCAGAGACATAAGGCAACCAATGACAATCGCCTCCAGCATGGCTGACTTTTCACTGTCACTAATTGGGGGCAGATACCAAGTTGTCTTCAAACACAGCTTCACACAGAGGATATGTCAGTTGGCTAATTACATTTTGACATATTTAAACTCATGTAATTGAAGGGAAGAAATGGATAAGAAAGGTGTTTTTTTAATTTGGAGTATAAATATTGGTAGCGGAGCCTAAGAGCTACAGTATTAGACATGTCTAACTTGACTACTTCCACATTAGTATTCTACCTAAAGGATGGAGAAACATGTGGTTCTCCAGATGTTGCTATTCCACAAGTTTTGTTAACACTAGCATGATGTTTGGTGAAAGATGCCGAGTTTAGCAAAAATCTGGATGGCCTCACATTCCTTACCTCTGAAGGAGAGGGGCAGCCAACACTTTAAGATTGTCCCAGGGTCAACTCAGTTCTGAGTACAGACAATTTGCCTTTCTTTACAAAATGGTTACATACAGAACTCAGAATGGTAGAAACATGCAAATTTTATCAAAAATTTGACATACAGGACCAGAAGGAATTCTAGAAGGAATTCAGTACATTCAGCTCAATCCCACTGTTAATATTGCTTTCATTTGGGAGCTCTATTCATTTCTGAGTATATATACTTATCTTTGTGTTTGTAAATCTATTCTTATTTACTTTAAATAAAATAAGTGCAGTGAATAAAAGGGTTCACATTTCACCTAAGATGCAATTTCATTGGGATTGTGTATGTCTGATTCCTTGGGATTCATTAACTCATCTATAATATGAGATTAATATGTTCTGCCACATATAATTTTTCTCACAATAAAGAATATGCCAAAGCCAAAGTGGTTTAGATCAGGGTCCCCAAATCCCCAGGCCACAGACCATCATCGGTCTGTGGCCTGCCAGGTACTGGATCGCGCAAGCAAGTGAAGCCCCATCTGCCCCACACAGGATCCAAGCAATGCATGAAACCACACCCCCTGGGCCATGGAAAAACTGCCTTCCATTGAAATGGTGCCTGGTACTCAAAAGATTGGGGGGCACTGGTTTAGATTATTAAAATAATATGTACAATAGTCTATTAGGCCCTGGAAATACTTTTTCAATTACAGAATAAATTTGCCTTGTACCAAATATATTAGCCAGGTAAGCTTAATATTGTTTAGACTGACCAGCAGTTGCTTTCTAGTATTTTAGAAAGGAACCTGGAAATAGCCAGGACTAAACCTTGAACTTTCTGTTTGCAAAGCATGTGCTATCTCATTAAGCTATAATTCTTACTAAACCTTCCCTTTAAAAAAGTCATACTAAATAAGGGCATAACTAGATTGTAGTCCATCATATAGTTTTAGGAAATCTAAGCAACATAAAGGGGAGGTAACAATAGGTAGTGTAGCCATAGTTTCTTTCCTAAAAAGGAAAGATTTCATAATCTAAAACACTCACTTATTGGCAAGTTCCACTTCCTCTGGAATCATAGGAGATGGAATTCCCCATTTTGCACTGATATATACATCGTCCTACAGAGAGTTTGTATTACCAGTTCCTTCTGCAGTGAATGTGGTTTCTATCAAAACGTCATTGCTAAATTGTTGGGTTTTAGATTTCTCTCATTGGGATGACACTGACAGTGCTTTTCTTTTTGAGTTTGGGCCTAGTTTTTAGCAAAATTTGTGTTTGTAGGACCTGGTTTAAAATAACAAAATTAGTTTAAAAGAAATAAGCAACTACATTATCAAAAGTGTGCCCAGGAAGAGTATGAAATGTAACAAACAGTTTGCTTGGTACGTTTCTGAACAGAACTGATAGAACATTCACAGCACCAGATATTAGATTTTTAGTTTTTACAGTTATATTGCACTTTTCATCAGATCAAGGACCATCCTCCATTTATTTCCCACAAAAAACAGTTTTGTCTATGCAATAGTGATTAGGTGAAAATGAATCTATAGGATACCATGATTGTAATGGACTTGAACGGAGGTCTCCCCAGTCCTAGTGCAATCTCTTAACTCTAGGTCATGTTGGCTCTTGAACCCTAGTAAGTCAACCTTATTTGCAGCAAACATTTCTGAATTTCACTAAAGAAGATGTGATCTACAACGCTAATTTGTTCAGTTCCTGCTGAATATTATGAAGTGGTTGAAAATAACCTATCCACAGAACAGGGTGTAACTGTTCTCATTCAGTTTAGATTCTGTTGAATACTCTACCTAAACTCAGGAAATGAACTTAAAAAGTACTATGCTCTCACCACTTTTATTCTTAGCAAAAGATCTGAAGTGAGCCTTATTCACAGTTAGGGATTCTTCTCCTTTGCAGGACTCATTGTCATGTATGCAGGTAGTAGGCAATTTTCCTGAAGCAAATCCGTTCTTTCTCTTTTGGGGACATGTATTTGTTTCTGAAGGCTGTAAATATGAGGGAGTTATATTCTCAAAAATAATGGCCCCTTTACAAAGTAAGAGTAAGTAATTTCTGTTTCATTTTGGAATAGAAACCCATATGACTTATATGTGATATTAGGCCCATACTTTTATATAAGTTATGGTTGTAACTGTACACAATGTTCTGAACTGTATCTACTGCAAAATATTGCCACCCATTTCTTATCCAAATTCAGCTTGGAAGACATTATACCAGTTAACAGATAGAGGTAATGTTGGGTTATACAGGTGAAACTTGAAAAATTAGAATATCGTGCAAAAGTTCATTTATTTCAGTAATGCAACTTAAAAGGTGAACCTAATATATGAGATAGACTCATTACATGCGTAGCAAGATAGTTCAAGCCATGATTCATAATTGAGATGATTATGGCTTACAGCTCATGAAAACCCAAAATCCACAATCTCAGAATATGAGAATATTGTGAAAAGGTGCAATATTCTAGGCTCAAAATGTCCCACTCTAATCAGCTAATTAAGCCAATTAACTAATTAACACTTGCAAAGGGTTCCTGAGCCTTTAAATGGTTTCTCAGTCTAGTTCAGTAAGAATCACAATCATGGGAAAGACTGCTGATCTGACAGTTGTGCAGAAAACCATCATTGACACCCTCCATAAGGAGGGAAAGCCTCAAAAGGTAATTGCAAAAGAAGTTGGATGTTCCCAAAGTGCTGTACCAAAGCACATTAATAGAAAGTTATGTGGAAGGGAAAAGTGTGGAAGAAAAATGTGCACAAACAGCAGGGAAGACCACAGCCTGGAGAGGATTGTCAGGAAAAGGCCATTCAAAAATGTTGGGGACTTTCACAAGGAGTGGACTGAGGCTGGAGTCAGTGCATCAAGAGCCACCACACACAGATGGATCCTGGACATGGGCTTCAAATGTCATATTCCTCTTGTCAAGCCGCTCCTGAACAACAAACAATGTCAGAAGCATCTTACCTGGGCTAAAGAAAAACAGAACTGGTCTGTTGCTCAGTGGTCCAAAGTCCTCTTTTCTGATGAGAGCAACTTTTGTATCTCATTTGGAAACCAAGGACCCAGAGTCTGGAGGAAGAATGGAGAGGCACACACTGCAAGATGCTTGAAGTCCAGTGTTTCCTCAGTCTGTGTTGATTTGGGGAGCCATGTCATCTTCTGATGTTGGTCCACTGTGCTTCATTAAGTCCAGGGTCAACTCAGCCGTCTACCAGGAGATTTTGGAGCACTTCATGCTTCTTTCCGCAGACAAGCTTTATAGGGATGCTGACTTCATTTTCCAGCAGGACTTGGCATCTGCCCACACTGCCAAAAGCACCAAAACCTGGTTCAGTGACCATGGGATTACTGTGCTTGATTGGCCAGCAAACTCACCTACCTGAACCTCATAGAGAATCTATGGGGCATTGCCAAGAGAAAGATGAGAGACATGAGACCGAACAATGCAGAAGAGCTGAAGGCTGCTATTGAAGCATCCTGGTCTTCCATAACACCTCAGCAGTGCCACAGGCTGATAGCTTCCATGCCACACTGTATTGAGGCAGTAATTGCTGCAAAAGGGGCCCAAACCAAGTACTGAGTACATATGCATGCTTATACTTTTCAGAGGTCCGACATTGTTCTATGTACAATCCTTGTTTTATTGATTGCATGTGATATTCTAATTTTTCTGTGATTGTGGATTTGGGGTTTTCATGAGCTGTAAGCCATAATCATCACAATTATGACAAATCATGGCTTGAACTATCTTGCTATGCATGTAATGAGTCTATCTCATATATTAGTTTCACCTTTTAAGTTGCATTACTGAAATAAATGAACTTTTGCATGATATTCTAATTTTTCGAGTTTCACCTATAATTACCTTCTGAAAAAGTGAGTATTTCCTGTAAGCATGATCATTCACCTAAGGCAGAGAGGAGTACAATCTGGATCAGAATCTTAGCAACCATCTGCAGGATATTTTTTCTAATACCCAGTTGTTTAGAGAAGTGACATTACTATTATTTTAGTATTGTTTCTAAATGAAAACTGGGTGAGTGAATTTTTCCATTAAAGAACATTCAGTTCTCTAAACAATCCCCTGCACTGAGAATAGGATGTTCTCTACCTCTGTTTGGTGGTTAAATTGTATGAGTGGATTTTCAGATTCTGGTACAAAATAAAATAGACTCTAGACATGAAATCTGTCATGGATAATACAATAAGAACCATTGTAATGCAGAAAGCATTTTGGATACAGCGAAATCTGTTTTGCTGTGATCAGTTAGAAAGCTTGGACAATTTTGTTGAGTACATCACCAATTTGCTTCATAGACATCATAAAATTCTTGTGAATTGAAATAGGCTATTCTACACATGTAACACAACTCTATACAATTGTCCATGCATGTAATTTATATAGTGATATTTTTTAGGAGCAACTTTTGATTTCTAACAAGGTGGTAATACAGCTTTTCAGACCAAACCAAGCTGTTATAACAAGCTGCAATCTCTCCTCATCTTGATGCCCTCCCAGCACCATATTCGAGGGTTAGGATGAGGTGGTAGTGTTGGCATACTTAAAGAAAGCTTGCACAACATATGGCTCACTGGCATTTTTGAAATGATAAATCCATCATTGTTAAATCAGATGTTGTCGCCACCAATGAGCATCTGCCAGCGCTGTCCCAAAAGGCATGCTGGCAAGTGACTTCAACCCTCCTGATGCCACTAGCTCCAATGCTGCTGCCACATCGCTACCCACTGAACAGCTAATCCAGTGAGGGGATTCAAAATTTTTTACTACTGGTTCTGTGGACGTGGCTTGGTGGGCACGGTGTGGCTTGATGGGCATGGCTTGGTGGGCGTGGCAGGGGAAGGATACTGCAAAATCCCCATTCCCTCCCCATCCCACTAACCTGCTTTCCAGCTCCGTTCTCCTGTGCCGGGCAACAAAAGAAGACCCAGCCGATCAGCTGGGACTCGGGAGGCAGAGAATAGATGGGGGCAGGGCCAGTCAGAGGTGGTATTTGCTGGTTCTACGAACTACTCAAAATTTCCGCTATGGGTTCTCCAGAACTGGTCAGAACCTGCTGAATACCACCTCTGAGCTCATTCATTGTGACTTAAAATTATTTTTAATTGATCAATGTGGCCCTTTCCCTCTATGAGTTGTGTAGGCATGCTTATTGTAGACATGAGGGAGACCCCCAACAATATACTGGGAAACAGACATGGGCAGATTTGTCTCTGGTGTGGTTTTTCTTCATAATTTGGTCTTGACTTAGTTTATTAACTATCTTAACTACTTATTTTGTCTACCACAATAGAGTGGTTTGGTTTTTAGTGGGGGTGAAATGGCTTTCCTCTTTGCACATCATTTTAGGGCATCCTTGTAAAAGTTACTGCTATTGCAAGGCTGAAAATGCTGATAGGGTTGGTCACTCAGGAAACCTTTCCCTGCAACAATTAGGTAATCACTGCAAATATTCCAATAGAATCATAGTTCTACCATTACAATGGACTATTATGGAGGAGACCCTTGAATCTTGCTTTTATGAATTCTTCATGCAGAAACCCTTACATTTTTTTATTTCTTTTTCTTGTTTCATATTGTTTGAGGGAGCATAGAACCCTTCTATGTGCAAAGTCATGCAAACATTTTGGAAGCCTAGAGCTCTGTGCAACAAAGCTTTCCTAGTTTTATACAGTGGTAATGGCTATTCTTAGCCACATTAACTCATCATCTTTGCCTCTTCTTATAGACCATTCTCCTTTCAGATGTTGAATTTACAACAGGTTGTGTGTACATTTATTAAACTGTTAATAAACCCTCCACCACAGAATTAAGGTTCCAAACGGCTTTGAAAGCACAGCTACCAACGTGCCCACTGAAATTAAGGTGACAAATGACTTTGGAAGCAATGGGTCTCATCATGTCCAGGAAATCTACATTGGGAAAAATACTTGCTATCCCTATATATTCATGAAGGCTATTGATTTCCTTTCCTCCTATAATGTCATTACACTATTTATCTTAATTTACCTTAATTGGGTCAGTTTGAAACACTGTGATATATTCATGTACATAATTCTACTTTTTAAGCAACATTGTGCAAGTAGTGTTAAAACATTATTGCTTTTGGTTGGCTATTATTGTGGATATGGTTATTTATTCACAGGTTTTTGGAGCTCCTCTTTACATCAAAGGCAAGGAAGAAGGCTTCTCCATTCTGTGAAAGATCCTGCTTACATCACAGCTCAGGGAAAAAAAGGAAAGAACCCCTGCCAGCCTTTTGCAAGCGGCACGAACAATTGTTCATATGAAACTGAGCTGTCAATAGGAAGTGACAAGCTGTGGTTTGTAAATCCTATTTTTATAGAGGAGAGCAGCTATCAATTTCCCCCACATGTTTCTCCTTCAGAGATCTTCAGGGAGAGTCCTTCTGGTGGTAGAAACCTTGTGACAAAACCTCCAAAGAGATCTCCTACTCGACGTCCCCCCCCTCCTCCTCCTTCTCTTCCTCCTCCTTCTCTTCCTCCTCCTTCTCTTCCTCCTCCTCCTCCTCCTCCTCCACCACCACCACCACCACCACCACCACCTCTATTGTCCTTTCATGCTGTGAAACAAGCCAAAACATCTTCTATGACCCCTTCCAAAGAGGATCAATTCCAAAATTTGAAGAAAACCAAAAAGGAGATGAAAACTGAAATTAGCAAAGGCAAGGAAGATAGCAGACAAGAGATCTTTTTTCCTCATAGCCTTCCATCTACAGATTCAAAGAAGGTTCCCCCATCCATTCCACCAAGGCGATGTTCATCTGAGAGAACTTCAGGAAACTCTTCCTTGGATAAAAGTCAGAAATGTTCCCTGCCAGAAGAAAAACAAGTCGAAAAACAGAATAGGAGGAATGCAACTTTGGCTAACAATTACCAGGGTGATAAAGCTCCAGACTTATTGGTGGAAGTGACAGAGAACTCTGCCTCAAATGCTCAAAGCTTGAAGCCTGATGAAGAAGACAAGAAAGAATTTACAGAACAGCAGCAGAATTTATCATCGGGAAAAACCTCCCAACCTCCCATCCCACCACTAAGAAAGAAGAGGTTCTTTAAACAGTCATCATCTACCAGTTCCTTTTCTTTGGAGCAGAAGAATATTGAAGAGTCAGAAGTTCAACCAGTGAATAAATCAAGAATAGAAAAGACTTGCTCCCTTTCCAAAAAGGAATCAAAATCTCATCTTAAGCTTGTCAGCATATCAGATTGTGAACGTTCAAGTGATTCATTGCATTCTCCTGTAGGCAGCGCAAGGGCTCAAATGTCTGCCTCTGAGCCAGATTCTTATTCTACAAGTAGCACTGAAGATGAGTTCGAATTGAGGGCCAGTCCTACAGTGAAGAAGTCCCATTCGATGATTTTAGGCAGGGCCAAGCGTCGTCTGTCCATGGTCAGCCTAAGCAATGTCTTCACAGCATTTCTCTCTTCTGACCGAAAGCTCCAGAAGAAGATTGTGGAACTAGCCCAGGATAAAGACTCTTACTTTGGCAACCTGGTGCAGGACTATAAAGTCTACAGTCTGGAGATGATGGCAAAGCAGATCTCCAGCACAGAAATGCTCCAAGAGATTCGCTTAATGATGACACAATTGAAAAGTTACTTAATTCAAAGTACCGAGCTGAAATCTTTAATGGACCAGACTGTTTATACAGATGAGAAGCTAGGTGAGTGTTCACATTTCTAGGGGGCTTTTGATCTATAAGCAAGAATGGCATACAGTTTCATTGCATACAGACTAGGGTCAGTAATAGGAGGTAGCAAATATAGTCATTATCATCTAGTAGTTCTCCAGTTCCAACCCAACCTGTGATGGAGTCTTGTCCCCAACAAAGCATTAAGAATCTGCTTCTCTTGTTCCTTCCCTTTTCAGAATGGTATTTTAAAAAATTGGATGAAAGGAAAAAAATCACTTGCCCTGAGTTAAAGAATATGTTTTTATTTCTGAACCCCATTCTCTGCATCTCAGCATACAGCTACAGCTGATATTCATCCTTAATTTTAAAGCACCTTCAATTATATGCACTCAACAAAAATAATCATCAACTTAATAGGGTGAACATTGTCCTTTTTCTTCTTTTTATTTCACATGGAGATAAACTAGAGTACATGTTGTAAATTAACAGTATGAATGCAAACAAGGACAAGCACAGTGGGCGGAGCATATAAGGAGAAAGTAGGTTTCTAAAGAATTGGTTATTTCTTTTAACTTTTTGATCCTCAGCTTAGTTTTGTGTAGATATTCCCACAATTAGGAGGGAAAAGAAGATATTTTGTTAAGTCTGGTCAATGGCTGCTGTTCAATGGTAGATTTTACACATAGTTATCCACAGATTTAAAAAAAATATGTTTCAAAACAATATCTGATTGTGGATCATTTGGAAGTAAATGTGTCCATTTCTTTCATAATATTATCATGCACTTTGGTATCCAGGCATCTAGTCTATGACATATAAATACACAGAGGAAGCTTATTCTACTAATTTTCTCATTTCAGACTGCTTTTAAAATGCGTAGAAATGTCAGTTCTATGAAATTGAAATTTCCATGGTCATTAACTATCACCTTTTCACTCCCCAACTCTTTATTATCGTACAGACTATAATTAATGAGTTATTTAGCTTAAGGATATAATTTTATGCATGTGTTACATGAATAATATTACAACTTCAATTTCTATCAGCCCCAGGGGCAAGGGATTGTGGGAGTGCATAAATGCTACGATTGCATGTAAATTAGTAGTACTGAAATGTTAGTTTGTAAATTAGTAAATTAGTATTACTGAAATGTTTGTGTTGTGAATTAAATTATAGATTGCTCTGATTAGTTCTGAGATAAGAGAAGGAGTTTGTCTTGGAAAGTATCACTGCATTTGTATGAAAGTGCCTTTTTAAAAAGATACATGTTGTATGTATATATATGTGTGTGTGTGTGTGTGTGTTTTCTTAAGTTTTCGCAGGTACTTACATGTATGGCATTCGGCTTTGCTCGGGTATTTTCCCACGTCAT